TTTAGTGGGTCTTCACTAGACCTGCTAAATCAATCCCTGGTGGATCCATTGAGTAGCAACTCTGAGCACTGTTTATAAACCCTTAGACGGTCATGGTGACAAGCTCAAGGCCAAATTCTGCAAGATGATCTCCACAAGGCAACTCTTGCATGTGTATAGGAGTATTGACTTCAGATGGGTTCTGTGCAAGCATCAGCATTTGCCCTAACAATATCTGATAGTGGGTGATGTTGGAAAGTGTCCTAAATTCGCTTCACAAGAATGAACCCAATATCTAAGGACAGGTCCACACTACAGGAGAGAGTCGATCTAAGCGACGCAATTTGAGTTACCTCAGTAGCGTAATCCAGGTCGACGTAGCTTGGATCGCCTTACCATGGCATCTATACTACACTAACCTGACTGGAGAGTTTCTTCTGTCAACTCCCTTTACTCATCTCATTGTGGTGGAGTAACAGAGTTGACGTCCAAGCAATGGGTGGTCAACCTAGCGGGTCTTCACTAGACCTGCTAAATCAACCCCTGGTGGATCGATTGCCACAGTGTTGATCCATCCAGGAGTGGGGATAAGCCCTTAGTGTTGAAATTTTATCCTGAGTTTCCCAAAATTTGGAGTTTTCCTGAAAAGTCAAAGCTCTGAGTCATGACATGAGTATCTCAGCTTTCATTTAAAAGGACAAGTCAGTTTCTAGGCCTCGTGTTTGTGGGAAATGCCCAGAGATGAGGGCTAAGAAACTAAAGGGCAAATAAAAAGAACTCAACATGTATTGATTTGTTAAACTCTTGTGATTTTTAAGCCTGTTTCAATGGCGTGCGGGGCTGACTCATGGTTTTCAATGCTCAGGGTTGGCCACACTAGTGGCATCTTGCCATGTATTAATCTTCCAGCAGTGACGATTCAGTTGTTGGCCTGGCACTAGAATTTGAAAAGAAAATGACACAACAAACTGAACAAAATTGAGAGGTTGGTTTAAATGGAAATGTTGTTGCGTTAAACTGCGTGGTTTCATCCAGGATTATGTTCTGGGGAGATGGATTTTGACCTCTGAGATAGAACAGGAAGCAATGGGCTTAAATTGCACCAAGGAGGTTGAGGTTGGACATTAGGAAAAACTTCCTACCTGGCAGGGTGGTTAAACACTGGAATCAATTGCCTAGGGAGGCTGTGGAATCTCCATCCCTGGAGATATTTAAGAGCAGGTTGGACAGACGCCTGTCAGGGATGATCTAGACGGTGCTTGGTCCTGCCGTCAGGCCAGGGGACTGGACTTGATGATCTCTCATGGTCCCTTCCAGTTCTAGTGTTCTATGATTCTGAGACTTGTGGGTTTTTACTTCTACGTGGCTAACTCTGTATTTTGGATCTAAGTTATTCAAATAATCCAAATTAACTCTGTGCATATAACGTAGGATCATATTTTCCATACATGGAACTTGCCTTCTCCTTTCTGTGTGGTGGGCAGTGCCCATACGGGCCAGGGGACAGGACATCTGGAGCTGTACTTCAACACAGACTCCTGGACCAACTTTCTTCTGTAGCTACATCCGTTTAGTCCTGACAGAAGGGGGCTGCATGCACCAGCAGCGTGGCTCCCGCATCCATGGCTTTGGATCCAGGATGTCAATGTTTTTTCCTTCTCAG